CAAAGCAATACCTGAACGAATGGAGTGCGAAGTCACTCGGAGTGAACAAGCCGAACCCACCTCATATATCAGAAGAAACAAAACCAAACGTCACTACTTCGCCACGATTAAGCCTAGTACTTATAACTGCGAAATTCGCATTTTTTTGACATTGCGTTGACAATTTGACGTTTAATGCGTGTATCAAACGTCAAATTGTCGAAGTAATGTCAAAAAAATGCGAATTTCGCAGTTATGAGTACTAGTCTTTACGCCGAAAAGTTCAACAAAACCCAACTTTTTGCCGTAGTGACAGCGTAATGTCAAAAATTCAAGATGGCTGCACTGCCGCCAATGAAATCGTACAAATTAAATCACGTGATTAGTTACACATAGAGAATGTCAAAATTCTCAAATTACACGCTTTTTGTTTATGTTCGAAAAATACACGCAAGCCAGTCAAAGTACACGCAAATCGTGTAATTACACGCTATTTGGCAACACTATTTCAATTACATATACGGGATGTTTTTGTAATGAATTCAAATATGCTTCAATAGTAGTATTTATTCCTTTCATACCTAGGAGGACCTCCGGAACAGCTCCAAGGCGTTACGCGCTTATTCCTTTCGAAAAGTATTTGTTGCACCCCGCATCTGTTCCTTTCAAATCGGGGCGACTATAAGGATACGCACACAAAGAAAGCAGGTTGTCTGCTTGCTGGTAACAAGCGCTTAAGCACCAATAATTGAATCCACGTTTAAATGCACCCGCACACAGAGGTTGAGCGGTTAAGTTCAGAATGGGATTTTAGTGCTGTACCAGTGCGGTGTTAGTGCAGTGCACGGTTATATGACGTCATGAAGGTGTAATCGGAAGTGTTACACCAAGTGACACCGAATACACCATCAGTCTTAACCGAGTGAACGGTGTCACAGCATCTTTACACTATTCGCGCTTGATTTTAAATTCATAAACATTTTATTATTAAATCTCATGTATCCTTGTATTTTCCGTTTTTTAGCGTTTAGGTGTTTTTGGAACGAGTCTCGTTCACTATCCACAGGAATGCTCATAAGGCGTAAGTTCGCCAATTCTCGAGTCGGCAGTGACGTCACCACTATCAGCAGCTGATAGTGCTGATATCACCCGCAGACCTTGATGGATTGCTTGCGATTTAGGCTGTGTCTGTGAGTCGATTTATTCGTCGATTTTAAATTTATAAATTGTGATTTTAACGTTTGGGAATTCGGATACTGTCATTTTACGCCAAGAGTTGAGGTCTGAGACTGACATGGCAAACACTTTCACACTTTCAGCTCAATAAGCAGTCCTAGGCTGAGTTCGGCAATTGCATCTGCGAGAAAAAAGAATACATTTTGACAGATGTCACGTGATTTGACAAGTGAAAAAAGATAAGTGATTACGTGGCGTTCGTCAAAATTGGTTCCTTTTGCTCGCAGAATCAATTACCGAACCCAGCCCTAGTGTTCTTGGGCGCGCATGTACCAGGAGCGGCGTAACATAACTAAAAATTGTTAAGTAGATTTAATATCGATTAAACAATTACTGATTTGTACTACTACAGAGAGAATTCGTGAGAATTGCTACCTCATTCGTGAGATCGTGAAATTCTGACAAAAATCGTGGAATCTTACGAATAATCGTGAGATCTGGCAACACTGCTGGTGAGTGAAAGCCTATATACGGAACTGTGATGTTTATGTTTGTTGTGTTTTGTTGTTCAATAAAAGGAATGTTTTAAGAGATTGGTTTAACATTTATTCTCAAATTAACAGTAACAAATAGCTTTTTGAAAACCCGTCACATTTCTTCTTAAATTCTTAAATCAGGTTCTGTTATTCTTTTTTCAAAGTTGACAGTTGACTTTCTTTTAAATTACTCTGACAGAGGAGCGGAGCTACGTTCCTAAATGTGAACACTACAGGAAAATTAGGCAATTTTTCGCGAGGATAACCAAGCAACTAATCTTTCGCTGGATTATGTGATGTGTCATTTGTGTCATACTCCCCTAACTCCCCCACCATCAAATTCTGGGATACTTGAGGATCTAGAACACTTCTCGCGTCCACTTTTTTCAAAACAGGTTTGAAACGGGCAATGGTAACAGCATTGCCCGTTTCAAACCCGTTTTGAAAAAAGTGGATGCGATAAAACGGTTTTAATTTCTTCTGTGAGAACAGACCGAAAATCACCTTTTCTACATTTAAAATCGACGAAAAAATTAACTCACTAGCACAGCCCGAATCGCAAGCATTCCATCGAGGTCTGCGGGTGACGTCATCACTATAAGCTGCTGATAGTGACGTCACTCGCAGGGCCAGAATTTGATGGTGAGGGAGTTAGGGGAGTATGACACAATTGACACATCACATAACCCAGCATAATCAGATTATGCTTGATTATCCTCGCGGCAAATTCTCTATTATTTATGGCGTTTTCCATTTGTCGTCTCAGTCGTCACTGAGTGCTGAGCACTCAGTGCGCACGATATCATCATCAGTGCAGTATAAATGGAAAACACATATTATGCAGGCTGGGATTGCCCCAATGGTGCCTTTCCATTTACGTAGTATACATTTCACTGTGTAAAATATGTTAGTTTGTTGTTTTCAGGGTCGGTTGTTTCTGTTCAGCACTTGCCGGCAAGATTTTGCCGGTTTCTGCTTTCTGCTCTGCATGTATTATAATATTAATAAGTTTAGTCAAATCTTGAGTTTAGTCTGGGCTGTCGTTGTGTGGTTTAGTACAATAATAAAAACTAATTGAAAAATGGATTTATTTGAAATGAATTTTGAAATTGATGAAGAAGTCATCTTATATACAAATTCCGATCGATGGATGATCATTTGTTTAAAATAACAGCTTCTTTCCCGCGGTTTTACCACTGATCTCAAAAATAAATGGATAAACAAAGAACGCTTCTAATGCTGCTAATTTACGAGGTCATAATCTGAACAAAAACAACTGACTCGGACAGCTGTGAGCGTGCGCAGTAGATACATGTACTGTGTGTGCACAAAGTCTGGCCAATGAAAATGAAGGAATTTCAAAATTTAGAACAGTTGTTCGAAAGATAAGACACTGCGCAGGCGTTAGGCTGTTCCGTTGCACAACTGGTTGAAGAATATTGACCCCAAATTTTCGCACAAATTTTGCCAATCAAGCTGTATGCAGGGTTGTTACAAGCTACACAATAGTTGTATTCCTTTCAAAGGTTTGAAACACTCGAGCTACTCGTTCCGGTGTTTAGTCGCCCCCGATTTGCAGGGAACAGATGCGTAGTGCAACAAACAATTTTCGAAAGGAATAAGCGCGTGAAGCCCCGGAGCTGTTCCGGAGCTCCTCTTAGGTGTGAAAGGAATACAACTAATTGTGTAGTTTGCTACACAATTGGACTATCGATTACACAGGTGCACCCCAATAACCAATTTCATCTCTTTACTACACTTTTTAATAAACTGCACAGAAATGCTACACAATGGATATATTGCCTATTCCGTAACTCAAAATTCTTGAAACGGTAGTGAATTTAGCCACTTCTGCAAAGTGGCAAAAGATGTCGCAAGCGCTCAGTGTGTTTCTGCAGAAATCACAAACCAGTCAGAGTGAATTTCATTGGTTGAAACTAGTTTTCTGGCTGTTTCTGTCCAATGAAATTCGCTCTGACTGGTTTGTGATTTCTGCAGAAACGCCCGTATGATTGTTTATAATGTTTATCCATTTATTTTTTAGATCAGTGGGTTTTACCCGCCGTTAACGCTAAAAACAACGTTGATAAGCTGCGGAATTCGTTCAAATAATATAATTTCGTCATCGGATTCATCTTAACTGCTGCTACAAGTACAACAACTTTTTCTTTGGAAATATTAGCAGACTGTACGGTACGTGTAAACAAAAACAAAACAAACTGCACTGGCTCTCCACGAGCTTTCTTAGCTCGCGCCAAAAAATGCGCACTGAGTGCAAAAATAATGGCACTGAATTTTAAATGGAAAATGAAAACTGATAATGTGTAGTCACAGGAATATAAAAATTGCACTGAGTGAGTGCATCTTCGTGCAACAAATGGGAAAAGCTATTGGTTTTTTAGGTTGTTTGACATTGTAAGGAGTGCGTTCGATAACTCAGTGTGCGATATAGAAAGCATACAGTTTTGTTTGGAAAGACGGAGTAGATGCATAAAAATGGTTTTTATAGTTTTCTTCCTTTGGAGAGCGCCTAGTGGGCACACCGAACCTAGTGCTAACTCTTATAATATCGCTATTTGGATTTCACTGATCTCAATATGAAATCGGTGCCCATACTCTTTCTCAAACTGCTTCATACCGTTCTGTAACCGGGGTATCTTAAACCGCTGTATTATAAAAACGCCTTTTGTGATCCGAGCGCTCTCTCTGCCACCAGAAAGTAAATATTTATAGATGGCGCTAGTCGCCAGATTTTTATATTGCTCCAGTGGATGTCGCCAGCGTTCACTTTCTTGATTATTTTTCAGTTAAGGCCCCTATAATCTTAATTCGTAATTCTTGTTCTCAACAATCTCAACTCTCAAAAACAGTAATGCTAAAGTTCTAAGAATATAGGGACGAAATTGGAAATTGAGCAATTGTCCAAATATTTTTTTTCAAAGAATTTGAATTAAATATATTTAGCCTCGGTTTATCCACCTTCTGATAAACTGTTAGGTATGCAATCCGACGGATAAAAACTCAATCTGTAATCCCCTTTGTCCGCCAGTTATCCGTCCACCAATAGAATTATAGAGCGGTAAATTTATCTCACTGATAGTTACCAGCAACCTTATCTGAAGATGAATAAACCAGGCCTTAATTTATTATTGAACCTTTGAATTTATAAATTTCTATTTTATTTAAATTTTAAATCATTTTCTCAGGAAATGTGGTCATCTACCATAACTATTAAATTATAGTTAAGTCATGTTTTGTGAGGTATTTGAGAAAAACAGGAAACAATCGTAATTAAATAAAACAAAAAAATAAATGTTTTTGTATAAATAATATATTTATGTAACACTTCACACGCTTTAGACCTTACATACATATTTACATTCACAAACGAATCACACAAAAATTTCTAAAGATTTTACAATAAGCTAACAGTGTGGTTCAAATGTTGATTATTAATTAGTCTATTAAAAGGATATGGATTGTTGCAGTCGTGTAACTAAAATAAGTGAAAATTCTATAAGCGTCTCGGAACTAATGTATTTTTAAAGCGTAGTGTTTAAACTTAAAAACTAGAAATGAAGTTTGTACTTGAAGTCCGAGTTCTACGAAGTCAAATGTATAAAAATAGATAGATCTCTTCAATACCCTAATAAAAGTAAACGTTTAATTTCTGACAACAAATTCTTATCAATTAATTTTTTTTTTATTCCGAAAGAACATCAAAATGTGACTAGCCCAAATTTTCAAAATAGAAAAAGTGTTAGACTTGTTCGAATTGAAACTTGACAATGATTTTAAAATAAATTATTTTAGAATAATTATCAGTATCAATATGAACAAGTTGATAAATACATAATATAGAAAACTATAGTCTATGATAGGAACGCTCGGACCGTTGCTTCTAAGGGTTTCCGACAAACAGCACAATTTTTAAGTGCAGCAGAACACTCTACACAGGCAACAATATGTCCACAAGGCAAAAATACCACACCAACTTCGTTATTTAAACAAATTTTACACAAAGTCTTTTCGTTTCTTTGATCTTCCTTCTCAGAAGCAGCTTCGCCGTTTTTAACACTTAATTGTTCAGGTTTAGGTTCTTTGGTTTCAGAGCTAGAGGGTGCCGAAGGCGCCCTTGGGTCCCTTTTTTGTTTAACATCATTTATGTATTCGGGACCCTTCTTTAGGAACAGATAAGAACATTTAGGGAACCAAAGAGCGTGCTCTTCCCAAGGGCTGTCGTTTTCTTCCCAGTCTTTTAATCCACCACCACAATGAAAGCAAATAGTTTGGTCTCCTACTCCAACATAGAAGAATCCAGCATCTGCCAGATCGTGAGGAGTTTGCTTAATTGATTTCGGCCAGCACTCAAAGGTCTGTAGTCTTAGGTCATAAGAAAACCTGTCTGGGTGCGCTGGACCTTTGTTTTTCTGGATGCCCAACTTTTCTAAATGGATTTCATCTTCAGGAACTGAGTTTGGAAGAATTTCGACACCATACAATCCACAAGTGTCCGAGGTGCGGGGGCTAGGAGAATCTGGTTCAACTGAATTCATAACAAAAGCACAATTAGGGCTCCAAGTTCTATGATCCTCCATAGGCTCATCACCTGCCATCCACTGGTAACCTTCTATGTGACAGTACGGGCACTGCACAATGTCATTGCGATTTTTATAGTAAAATCCAGCCTTTGCTAATGCCTCTTTCGATATATCCCTGTTTGGCCAGTTGACGTACGATTTTATTCTGTCTTCATATTTGGTAAAATCCAAATTTTCAGGAATCACTTGGGATTGTAATGTTGCCGTTTTGCTACCGTTATCCGGTTCACTCAAGTAGCTTAAATATTTATTGTTGCTGAAGTTCTTGATGTTTGTGAAAATTGATTCACTCATAGTTTTAAATTTGTTGCCCAGCTTTCAGCAAACCTGTAACAAGAGATAAGAACATTTAATATAATTTGAAACAAAAAAAAGTTTATTCTATATTCTATTTAAACTTGAATAGTTTAATTTTTTTTTAACATAAGGTGGTCTTACAATCGAGCTTACAATAAAAGTGAACTTTTTGAAATTTTTATTAGAGTTTTTTGAGTAAACTAAATATGTAATATATTTTTGATTTAAATTAAATAAGAAACAAAATAATAAATGAAAGAATGATGAGAATTGATTTGTATATTATGTGGATTGTATAAATCTATGAAAATTGCAAGGAAAATTGTTATATTTTCTCTGCCTTATAAATATGTAGGTATGTATATTTTACATAGAATCGCAATAAAAATAAATGTGTTGTTAGGTTATCAAGAGTTTGTAACAGCTGGAACAAATCGATTTTTTATAGGACAACACCTGCACAATTTTTTTTTTCAATAAATTCCTAATTAAATTACAAGAATAAATCTACTCATGATATTTTGATTTAGAAGATAACCAAAGAGCAAATACATATGCTGAAAGTTTGAGGGTATCTAATACTAGATTAAAACAAATTTTATTTACAAGATAGATTTTTTTTTTTTGTTGATAAGATTCATTTGAAATAATTCTTCATTGGCAATATTTGTTGTTAAAAATATCCTTGTCACATTCAATATAGGTATTAATTAATTTTTATAGTCGAAATTGGTTAAAAGAGAGATTCATTTGTGAAATATGCCAGCAATGTTCAATATTGCAGAGGTTGTACAATAACAGTATAAAGAGCAACTTTCTTCACATAAAAGCTGGCGGTCGTTAGGCGCGTATATCCGTTCTCGAGTGTATAATGGTCCCAGTACCAGGCCGGTACAGCCGTACCCAATGTTGAAAAAGGACGGCGACACCGATGGAATTTCAAAGACCATTCACGAGTTCCAACATTCCGTGGTGCCGCTCCCCTCGAGCCCCCTCGGCACTCCAAGCCCACCAGCCCTACCACATTCCACAGAGATCACATCAATGACCGAGCAGCGGAAACAGAAAAAAAGCAAGAGCAAAAGACAGAGAACGCGAGACCCACACTGAGGAGGGCCCCTCTCTCATCTAGACGGATTCTGAGAAAAGCCGGCATCTTTTACCTACCACAGACTGGCTATGTAAAATCGCCCTTATGTCCTTAATTTTTTCGATAAGTCTACAAAACTCTAAATTTCTTTGTTGTTTATATAAAGTATTATTTATATTAACGACAATGAGGCTAGGAATACAAAAACAAGGCTACGACATATGGTTGATAATTGCAAAAGGAAACCAACCCACTTTAATTGTTATTTTAAAAGCTTTCTACTGAGGCAAGGGAGTATGCAATTTTACTAAGATGTTGTACTGACCTTAAACAATATCAAAATGCAATTTTGCACTATACACTCATGCCAAAAAGGTTGAAATTTTGAATTAATTTAGTGAACACGTACACAACTACAACTTCGAGTTTAGTTAACTACACTACGCGAACATCAAGGCAAGGCGAACAGCGCCAGTCTGTGAAGCCAGCCAGCCAAGTATGCGGGCGCCGTTGCCAAGTTTTAAAAGAACGGGCCGCAAACTCGTTTCCCCGACAAAAAACATTGAAAACCCACCCGGCGAGCGAACAGAGTTGGAGTGTGCGACTGTGAGAATGGAATGTTGAGAATTTCTAGTTGAAAAAATACCCCTTTTAGCTGTTTTTGTGTTTACCCTCATCAGCTGTTGTTAAGGAACATCATATGTTTGCACTGTTTGCAGTCATTCTACTGTGTTGCCAATTTTAAAGTTCAATTTTTTTTTTTGAACTGGCCTGCTATGAAGAGATTTCTCTATAGCGTCTAAGCAAGTTGCAAATACATTACTGAATATACAACATATATTTGTTGTAATCAGGGTGGGAAAGGTTACGACATTTTTGGGAGCTGTCTATTTACCATCGCAGTCATCTGTAGAACTGTATGAAACTGACTGTGTATGTGTGGAATTCATGATCGAAGAACACCAATGTATTAATTATCATGGGTGAAGATTTCAACTTACCAAATGTGCCCTAGATCAATGAGGAGTATGGATCGCAGGCAGTAGGTAGTTTATCCCAACAGGCAAAAACTTTATCAGAGGATTCATCCTTTCTGAACTTACAACAGGTAAATGTACGGAAGCCCGGTAGTACAATCTATTTTTCGAGTTCTTATTTCATAGTTCTGACGTCATAACTCGGTTCTGATGTACGACGTCATAACTCGGAAATGCTCATTTATTACTAGTTTGGTGAAAATTGAAAATATAGTAGTTTAGTAGTTATATCTTTTATTTGCAATCATATATGTAATCTTGTCATTACTGACTTTTTAAAAATTTGGAAGTGACACTTTACTTATGTCACTTCCTCGGTCACTTCCCTCTTCGATTTCCCTCACCGATTTCCCTATTCCACTTCCCTCACCGATTTCCCTCACTCTAATTTATTTACCTTTGCTGGCAACAATGAGAACATGTCAGGTAAAAACGTCAAGGCAGTGAATGACACATTTTGGCATGTTTGTTTAATTTTTTTAATTTAAAAAAAATTGATTGACTAATCATAATTAATGGTGTGCTTGCAAATAAAATAGTATACAAACCTCGGAGGAAAGTTTTCATTTCTGTCTCGAGATTAATAGTCAATCTCTCGATAGTAATGAAACACTTCCCTACTCGGTATGTAATATACTATTAATATTTTTTGTCCGAGAATATAGACCGTCAGCTAATGACAGATTTGGCTGACAGATTTTCTGTCTTCGGAGATTTCAACCACTGAAAATTATGTCAGTGCGCTGAGCTCAAAAAATGAAAATTTAGCGACCTACAAAAGGAAAGTGAATTTTCCATATGCTTAGGGCCGGTTTCTCAATACCGAGTCACCTCCAGGTTGGTTTTAACTCCAGGGTAAGCGTGTCAAGTTGCTATGATTACCCTGGAGTTATCCTTAATTCGGGGGTGATCTACTATTGAGAAACCGGCCCTTAGCGGACTTCCGGTCGCTAATTTTTTATTTTTTGAGCTCAACACTAACATAATTTTCAGTAGTTGAAATCCCCGAAGAGAGAAAATCGGTCAGCAAAATCTGCCATTAGCTGTCGGTCTATAATCTCAGACAAAAAATATTAAAAGATGGGTATAACTACTATATTTTCAATTTTCAGCAAACTAGTAATAAATGAGCATTTCCGAGTTATGACGTCAGAACAATGAAATAAGAACTCGGAAGACGGATTGCACTACCGGGCTTCCGTATAAGTGAAATACCAAACTCCCAAGATAATTATTTGGATCTTATTTTTAGTAACTTATCAGAGCCATGGTGGAGCTGGCGAATGAGCCTATCCTGCCTAGTGATTCGGATCACTCAACCCATATCATTCACACTAGAAATAGGTGTGGTTGATGTTAACACCATTGACTATACAACTATGAGTATTTTAACTTTAAATTGGCCAACTACACGGCAATAAATGATTAATTATCTGGGCTCATTTGAATGGGATCAACTACTTAATGCTGAAAATGTGGATTTAAATATTATCTAATGTTTTTGGGGATATTATGAAGTCTGCCATTGAAGAATTCGTTCCTAGAGTAAGATCTGTTAAGCCTAAGTTTACCTGCTGGTACTCAAATGAACTTTAAGAACTCATATTTAATAAGAAAATTGCCCATGAGAAATATAAAATTTCAAATACAGAAGCAAAACTATAGTGTGTTTGCTCAGCTGAGAACAGCATGTAAAAAGTTAACTAATAACTGCTATAGTGATTACATCTCAGTAGAAGACATAGTAGATCACAATAAGGCTTTCTGGAAAATTGTACATCAAAAGAATAAGTTTAAGTGCCAGCAAATATATCCTATAATGGCGAAACAGCAGATAGTTCGACAGATAGTGTAAATTTCGTTGCCGATGTTTTTTCCTCTGTTTATAGTGATAGAAACTGTGATAACTGTAATTTTGTTATTCCTAATAAAGTTAACATTTGTGATATAAATGAGATTGGTGTGTTTAATGCAATAATAAAATTAAGTAATAAATTAGGTGCAGTCCCTGATAATGTCGCGGTAGGATTTTTAAAGAATTCAGTGTATATTTTATCATACGTCTTGTGTAGGGTGTTCCATCAATCTTTAAATAGCGGTAGATTTCCTGAGGCTTGGAAGCAGTCATATCTTACACCAGTATTGAAAAGTGGAAACCAGTCAGAGGTTTCGAATTATAGAGCCATCACCAAGTTCTCTTTATTCCCTAAATTATTTGACTCTATTGTATGCTCAAAATTAGTTCTCCAACTTCAGGGAATTTTAGTAGAACATCAGCATGGGTTTATCAAGGGCAGATCAACAGTTACAAACTTACTGATATATAAACAGAGTCTAATACAGTCACTGGAAGCCAGACGAAAAATCGACTCCATGTACACTGATTTTAACAAGGCTTTTGATAAAGTAAATCATGAGGTGTTATTGGGAAAGCTGCAAGCTTTGGGATTTTTTGGATATATTATGCTTGCTTGGTTTCGTAGTTATCTTGGAAATAGATGTCAGTTTGTTAAGATGAAGGGTGCTCTGTCGAGGAAAATACATGTAACTCATGTAGCTCATCTGTCTTCGTTGCTGTTGAATGTCTTTATCAATGATATCTCTACTGTTGTACAGCACTCTGACATACTTCTGTATGCAGATGATCTAAAGTTATATAAATGTATTGAATCCACGGAAGGCTGTGAAAAACTTCAGGAAGACATTGATCATCTGGGATGGAATTTAATACAAAGAAATGTAGGGTTATACGCTTCTATCGAAAAACGAACATTACTCAGTTTAAGTACAGCATAAATGATAAGATCTTAGAGACAGTAGACTGTATAAAAGATCTGGGGGTTTCCTTTGACAGAGAACTTTCATTCAATAACCATATTAATTGCATAACTAGCAAGGCATTTAAAGTTTTAGGATTTGTTAAGCGTACTCTGCAGGATTTC